TGTCCTTGAGGACAGTCAAACACACTTGTTTCGGTTTGGCGATGACATTCTGATTGGCTCTTACAATAAAAAGGCTGCCGATGCTCTGTATAATTTAAAGAACCAGGTTTCGAAGTTGCAAGGTCTCTGTAGTGAGTAAGACCAAATTTATGTATATGGCCAGAGGGTCCAAAAATGCTTTCACATTACAAATTTGTGGCACCACTGTCGAGCAGGTCGGGCAAATGAAATTTCTTGGTAGAATTATCACATCAGAAGGGGTGTTGAGAGAGCGCCCTCAAATAATTAAAAAAGAGATTAGGCCGGCTAATAGTTTTATTAAACGACTCACCTCAGTGAAGGCGGGGCTGAAGCCAAAAGTTGCTTTAAATACGTACAAATCATTTGTTAGGGCGAAGGCGGATTATGGCTGTACCACTTGGGCGAACCCGCTCTGTCTGGTTACAACAACAGAATATATGTTTGTATCAATGGCACCATCCGAATATCTTGCACCAATTCATTCTATGTTTGCGCTGGCTGGTGAACTCCCGCCGCTGTATAGAGCGGAGTGGCTTACTGGTAAAGAACTTATTAAACAATGGTTCGTAAATAAGCAGCTGAAGACATCAGTACAAAACACCACCTACACGACGAGGCGAAATTACTCCCAATCAAGGAGCATAACACCATGCTCTGCAAGCAGTTCCTTGTCGGGAGCCATTGACGTGGTCACCCGTCAGGAGGCAGCTCTACGAACTGACGGAAGAAGTCCAGAGTTTCATTAAACAACCTTTTGGACCCGTCAGCATATCGACAGACCCTGAACGGCATTCACAGAGAGACTTAGTCAAGTAAAGGGTTCACAGTTTGCCGAGATAATGGTAAAAGTAAATAAAATTCCGTGCTTCAGGAACGAAAAGTGCAAAATGAAATGTTATGAAGTGAAAATACTCAATCGCTTGTTATTGGGTCACACATACAGTAGACATTATCTCTACAAATTTGTGAGAGGAATGTCGGGTTCCTGTCTGGTTTGCGGTGACAGTGAAACCGCGGAGCATGCAATTTTTGAACGTCAAGCACACAACGCCAAAATAGCCAATTACCATATTTTTAGCAAGTATTCAAACTTGATGGAATTGGATGGAAAAATCTGAATGTTCAACATATGTATAAAAAAAAAGAAATAAAATAAAAACAAATTATATAGTACTGTTTAAGTAGCCTTCTAGATTGTTATATGATTAGGCAAACAACACTCATACTATTTCAAATAGTTAGGTTTAAGTTTATCTAGTGATAAGTTGTAAATATAGACTAACTCAATCACAGTATCTTGTAATAAGTACCTGAGTTCAGGTTTAAGAGCATACATGGACACACTGAAATCCTGTATGTATTTACCCTGTCGTCTTCTGGGGGCAGTCTGCCCACATATCGCTATTTCAATATAGTAATTACAACAATCTCGCAACAATTACGTGTGTTCAACACATCCATCCAAGCAATAACATATTTCGCTTGCATCCCCGGGCCCTGTCTCATGGGTTCATCTGAGAATAACCTGGCGGTTTAAGGATTTTATTTACATCCTTGCCATTTTTTCATAAAATCCCTACAAATATGCGACATAAATATAATTTTTTGTATAAATGTAATTTATCTGGCAATCGAAAAACAAACTTTCAAATAAATACAGAAACTTAAATAAAAACAATCACAATTTCAAACGCGTAAATACATTTATTTTAATAGTAATTTTTAAGCAAGCTAAATGATTACAATTTACGTGTACACATACAAGTGCTGAGAATCAAAACAAAGAGAAATGGTAATAGTTGGCACGCTGAGTAATCGCGTCTAAGTCTCTAGGTAAGGCAAGTCAAGGCTGAGTCTTGCATAACCCAGCTTTAACTACAAAAATTTTAAAAACTTTATTAAAAAGCACAAAAGGCAGATTTTAGTTGAGATAATTTACCAATTTTATTCAACAATTACGTCCACCTATTTTGGAAATAAAAATTTGGAAAAACTAACAAATCCAAACTTCTATCAGGAGCAGGAGTAGTAGCAGGACTGGGATGAAAGAAAATGCAAAGAAATGGAAGGAAGATCTGGAAATAAACAGAGAAGTAAATTAACAAGATAGAAATCGAGACGCTGCTAACGCAAGTAAGAGCGAATTTTTTTATAATAGTGACCACAAAGGCCCATATATTGTCTATATAGACAAAATTAATAACAATGACACCCGAACTCCAATCAACGCAACTAGTTTGAATAAATTGAGGACGTGGAAGACATATGTAAAATTGGTTTCGGAAGGTGCAAAATTATTTTCAAAAACGCAGAAGCGGCTAATAGAATGACTAGATCTACACATGATGAATACAGATACCAAGCAAAAATCTTTGCGCACTTTGTCTCAAAAATGGTTATTTTATTTGACGTACCCACAGAAATTACGGAGGAAGAGCTCCTCACTGAGATTTCATCACCAGTCAAATTAAGGAAAATAATAAGGGTCATGCGTACAATAAATCAAGAAAAATTCCCCACTCGGAGGGTAAAAATCATATTGGAAGGTTAAAAATCATATTCAAAGGGTTTGAAATCCCAACTGAAATAACTTACTTTTATACAAAATTACAGGTAAAACCATTGCTAGAGATGTTTTCGCCTCAGCCATTTTGCACAAAATTGCAAGCAACAAAACATAATTTACCCGATCTGTAGTGAATCGCATGATAAAGACACTGACAGCCAAAACCCTAAAAAATGTAAAAATTGTCAAGGTGAGCATACAGCCACGGATAAAGAATGCCCAGCAAGAGTCAAAGCTTACACAATAAAAACGATCATGACTCTTGAAAACCTTGCAGCAACTGAGGCGAAGAAAAAATATGCGAGCATATTTGGAAACAGATTCGAAGCATTAAACGACTTCGACACAATTGATAACCAATTCCCAGAATTACCAAAAACTGCAAAAAGAAAGACATTCAATAATACGATGGAAGCAGCAAAATATATGCTTTAATATATTCGATATTAAATGAATACTCAGTAGGTGCCAATTTCCATCTTGTAAATTTACTGTTTTCTTCTTTTAAATTATTTAACCAAATTAAAGGTTTATGATCAGTTTGTAATTTAAAACGTTTCAATATTCTAAAATATTTGCATGCCCAAACTATGGCTAATAATTGAATAGTTCTTTTCACTGTCGCAAAGCGTTCTGCTTGCATAACAAATAGGATGTCCGTCTTGAGAAAGTACAGCACCAATTGCGAATGTACTTGCGTCTGTTGTCAAGACAAACTGTTTCTCAAAATCTGGATATTTTAAAATTGGATAATCTATGGTAAGTGGTTTTAATTTCTCGAATGCATTGATATATTTTATATCATTTCTATCTATCTTCTTGTCTTTTTTTAGATATTTCACTATTGGATACGCAATTTTACTGTAATCTTTGATAAATTTTCCATAGTATCCAGTTATGCCTAAAAATGATTTATTTCCTTCACTGTGGTTGGTAATTTAATTTTTTGAATCACCTCAATCTTTTTTGGATTTGGCTTTAATCCTTGGTTTCTAATAATATGTCCTAAGAAATCTGTTTCTTTAAAAAAAAAAAGAACATTTGTCAATTTGAATTTTCAAATTAAATTCTTTTAATCTTTTGAAAATTAGATTCATTGAATTTACATGTTCCTGTAAACTCGTACTAAAAATAAGTATATCGTCTAAATATACAACACAAATTTTATTGATGAATGGTTGTAAAACATGATTCATCATTCTTTGAAATGTTGCTGGTGCATTCTTTAGACCAAATGGCATTCTTACGTATTCGTAATGTCCATACTCAGTTGAAAAAGCGGTTTTATGCCTTTCCTTGGGATCCACTAAGATTTGATGGAATCCTTTTGCCAAATCTAGTGTTGAGAAGTATTGTGCCTTTCCCATTTTGTCAAATATACTGTCTTTATTGGGAATAGGAAATTTATCTTCAGTAGTTACCTCATTTAATTTCCTATAGTCAATGACTATTCTCCATTTCTGAACTCCTGAATTGTCCATTTTCTTTGGAACTATCCATAAGGGTGCATTATATGGTGAAAAGCTCTTCATTATGATTCCATTGTTTTCCATTTCATCGATTTGTTTCTTTATTTCTGCCTTGCGAACCTCGGGGTACCTGTAAAGTTTAGTGTAAATAGATTTATTAGTGACTGTGTCAATAGTGTGCATTACCTCATTTACGCTTGTTAAATTATCCCCCTCTTTAAAAAAGAATTCTCTATTGTTTTTTATAATTTTTTGCAATTCTTGTTTTTCCTCAAGATTCATTGCATCGTTTTGCAATTTTTTTTAAATTTCATTGTTACTTACATTTTCTGTTTGTATTTCCTCCGTTTCCATTATATCATTGATATATTCTTTAGATTCCTGTACGTAATAATCTTTTATATAGTCTTTGTTAAACAAATCTTTCATATTTAGTTTAAACTCCTCTTCTTCTTTGGTATCCTCGTTGACATATTCCCTGTCACTATCGAGATCATACACGCTTATAAAATCCTTTCCTTCTGTATTTTTATATAAACCGGTGTTTTCTTTTCTTTTAGGAAAATGTTCCTTTTCTTTGTGGCTTTCTAAATTTCTAAAACGTATTTCCTGTTCGTTCACTTTCATTATGTTCGTTTTGTAGGATAATTCCATTTGTAATGGAATGAGAACATCGTTTCCCAATATTCCATTATAAGGTTTATCCTCAAACGCGTCCATAACTAAGAAAGTTACGATTGTTTTGCTTTTATCCTTAAATTCTCTTGGTAACCACGTCAAGATATATGTATCCGCGATTTCCTTCTTCTTTCCGGTTATTATTATTCTCGGAACTTCTAATTTGCTTTCAAATTCCCTTCGGAAAACTCCTCTATTTATAATAGATGCCTCTGCGCCTGAGTCCACTAAAAGTTTCACTGGTATTTCTCCAATGTTCACTTCGATTATTGGGATTCTCCTTTTTCTTTGACCTTCTTCTGCAAAGTTTTCAACTAAAGCATTATCAATTTCCATAGGCTCTGCCACTTGCCTTTTTGTTTGCCTCGTATTACCGCGAGTAAACTGTGTTGGTTGATAGTTTTGTTGCATGTTCACATTCTGCTGTCTTGCATTCACTGTGGGTTGTTTGTTTTGCCATTGATTATAATTTCTATTTAAATCACTTGGTTGATTCACTTGATTTTGTTGGTTCTGATTCACATTTTGATAGCGTTGATAATTCTGATAATTTCTTGGTGCACTTGTATATTTATTTTTATCACTTTTGTTCACATTACTCGAATTAAACTTTGTAAATTGATACTTCCTATCCGACCGCGTCCAATTATTTTGTTCCAAAATCCTATACGCTTCGAATAAGGTTTTAATATCTCGCGAAATTATAATGCTTGCGGCGCTAATTGGGATTTTCTCTTTAAATAAGTTTAAAATTGCTTCTTCGTTACATTCGGGTTTTCTATCTATCGGTTTTTCTTCCGACAAGTGATACTTATTGTTCATTCGCGTTAAAATACTAGATAATTCGTTATACGTTTGAGTTATATACTTATGCTGAATCCTTTCTGCAATTTCCCTCAACTGTAAGAACGTATTTCTCTCGCTGAAATTTTCTACTAATATCCTTTTTTTATCCTCCCAGCTAGTATTGTCTATACTATATCTTAGTAATGTGGTATTCACTTTCCCTACGATTTTATCCCTAATCTGTAGTACTACGAACTTTCTTGATTGTACCGAATAACTACTCATACTATTTATTAAAAATTCTACTTTGGTCACGAATTGTACAAGTTCTGCCGCACTGCTACCATTATACTCACCCATTCGATTAATGAATTTGAGTGGATCGAAATTGATTTTGAAATTTCCCCCTACTGCTCCTTGTCCTAAGGATCCTTGTGCTGAAGTTGCCATGGTGTCCTCGTCTTCTTCTGATACTCTCCTTGGTATATAATAAGGTTTCATAAAATGCTCAATATACACAAATGATAATTTTCGATTTACAATTGTTTTACCGGATTATTTTTCTTTTGTATAAAAAATTGTATAAGATTGAAATATTCTTTTCAGGATTTTCGGTCTGATCCTAAGAATAAAATCTTTTTTCTTTAAAAAAAAAATTATACTTTTTAAGAAAACTCCTTCGCTTAAGTTAGTTGAGACTGCGCCAATAATAGAATCACGTTGTGACTCTATTTTTAAATAAAAGATATTATTTAGGTTCGCCACCGATCTTGCCTTTTCATATTGGCTCTCGCAGTTTTGCTACTTTCGGAATGAGTATTGATGGTT